TTTGCTGTTATTGTCTTTGAATCCATCTATGTGACTTTACCGAAAGACCTAAAGAATAAAATCATGGCTTGTAAGCAATTATGTATACTCTTTGGGTCTATTCGGTAAAGTCACGTAGGTAAAAAATAAAAAAAAATCACGACGTTTTGGCCACAACACAAGCAGCCTTCATCAGGTGAAGGGACCAGGCTGTCTCGAGGACAGCGCTGGAGTGAAACACAGCCACGCTCAGACCGTGACCTTTAAGCTGTGCGAGGAAACAAGGTGCTTTGACAAAGGAATTAGCATAAAAAATAGCATTTGATTGGCCGACTTAGCAGAGCTGCGAAAGTTTGGGGTACCACTACTTGAAAAATACACTGTACCATTGAAAATTAGTTTAATGTTTGGTTCGATTTAGAACATTTCCAATGGTTGCTTAATTTGAAACCATCTTCCTCGGTTGAAATTGTGTCTGTAGATCTGAATTGCCTCGGGAACAAATCTCTGATAAAAACCCGTGGGTTTGCAAAGAACCTTGGTATCGGAGAAAACGATATCGTGATCACCCACAGCGTTGTAACAGTGATCAGCCACGGCAGAAGAATTCGTTTTGCTGCGTTTCAAATCTGATTTGTGCTCGCAAATTCGGTCAGAGACATGTCGCTTTGTCTCCCCGATATAGCAATCACCACAGGTACAACTCAATTTGTAAACCGTGGGGTACTGTAAGTCAGGAATGACATCTTTCACGGATGGGATCAGATCACGAATTTTGTGTACTGTATTGAACCGGACCTGGATCTTGTGTTTAGAATTTTGGAAATCTTTTTAGTAACGCCTGCTATATAATGGTAGTGTGATGGTTTTGACCGGAGTATCAAGTGGTTGTTTCTGTATGGAGGGAGAAACAGCTTGGCAGATGGTACGGTCAGAGTATCCATTCCTTTTGAGGGCCATGTGTACATGTTTTAATTCACTGGTCAGGTGGTGTTGGTCCGAAAAGCAATGAGCCCTATGGTATAAAGTTTTGATGAGAGAATTATTTTGGGCTCGGTGGTGGGAATCAGGTTTCAAGTAGGAATCTGTGTGGGTGGGTTTCCTGTAGACAGTGCCCCAATGAGCCATCAGGTCTCCTCTCAAACAGAACATCTAAGAATGGTAGCTTGCCATCTTTCTCCACTTCCATGGTGAATTTGATGGCAGGATGTCTGGAATTGATGTGGTGTAGGAAAAGGTTCAGAGCTGGGAGGCCATGTGGCCAAATGACGAAAGTGTCGTCTACATATCTCTTCCACAGGGAAGGTCCGAGGGTGGAAGTCTGGATGGCGTCCGATTCAAATTTCTCCATTAAAATATTGGCTATCACTGGTGACAAGGGGGATCCCATGGGGGTACCCTCATTTTGTTTGTAGAAGGAGCCATTCCAAGTAAAGTAGGTATTGTTGAGGCAGTGTCTAACCAGTGCAGGTGTGTCAGGGTCTAGTCCATGTTGGACCACATTTTCAATTATTTCAATGGTATCAGGTACTGGGATCTTGGTGAACAAAGAGACCACATCAAAGCTGACAAGGATATTGTCAGGGGACAGTACGTCTTTGACCATAGAGACCAATTGGGCTGAGTTAAGTACTGCTGAGGCGGTCTTGCCAGTGAAAGGTAGCAAGGTATCTGACAGAAAACGGGCTAGTCTATAGGTAGTAGAGTTGATCGTGGATACGAAGGGTCGTAGTGGGGTGCCTTCACAAAACTAGACGTTAACAAAATCCTCATTAATTAGAGTAGCACCTCGATTTCGGACAATCTGAAAACAGTACTGGCTAGGGGACCAAATTTTGCCGTCACCCCAAAAACACATACCAGTAGATGATATCGCTCAGGTCGATGCAGCCCTCAAAAAAGGCATAGGACACATCCAAGCAGACGTTGCGAGAGCTGAAATAGCCACTATTCTTAAGAATGCTAAGAAACCCATTAGTAACATCAGCAAAAATGAATGCTCTGAACTCGAATTTAAAAAAAACAAGTGATAGTCATCCTCTCAGCTGATAAAGGCAATGCTACTGTAATTATGGATACAGATTCATACAACAAAATCCAGAATCTGCTCAACGATGGAAGTTAATCAAAAATTAAAAATGACCCTACCAATAGCCTAGCGATAAAAACCAACAAGATCACCACAAGTTCGACCTCCCTAATCGACCCAACTAAACGTCCCTCCCTAAAACCTTCTGCTGCAAGACCCCCTAGATTCTATGGTCTTCCCAAGATTCATAAAGAAGACACCCCACTACGACCCATCGTATCCACGATCAACTCTACTACCTATAGACTAGCCCGTTTTCTGTCAGATACCTTGCTACCTTTCACTGGCAAGACCACCTCAGCAGTACTTAACTCAGCCCAATTGGTCTCTATGGTCAAAGACGTTGTACCGTCCCCTGACGATATCCTTGTCAGCTTCGATGTGGTCTCTTTGTTCACCAAGGTCCCAGTACCTGATACCATTGAAATAATTGAAAATTTGGTCCAACATGGACTAGACCCTCATACACCTGCACTGGTTAGGCACTGCCTCAACAATACCTACTTTACTTGGAATGGCTCCTTCTACAAACAAAATGAGGGTACCCCCATGGGATCCCCCTTGTCACCAGTGATAGCCAATATTTTCAGGGAGAAATTTGAATCGGACGCCATCCAGACTTCCACCCTCAGACCTTCCCTGTGGAAGAGATATGTAGACGACACTTTGTCATTTGGCCACATGGCCTCCCAGCTCTGAACCTTTTCCTACACGACATCAATTCCAGACATCCCGCCATCAAATTCACCATGATAGTGGAGAAAGATGGCAAGCTACCATTCTTAGATTTTCTGTTTGAGAGGAGACCTGATGGCTCATTGGGGCACTGTCTACAGGAAACCCACCCACAGATTCCTACTTGAAACCTGATTCCCACCACCACCCAGCCCAAAATAATTCTCATCAAAACTTTATACCATAGGGGTCATTGCATTTCGGACCAACACCACCTGACCAGTGAATTAAAACATGTACACCTGGCCCTCAAAAGGAATGGATACTCTGACCGTACCATCCGCCAAGCTGTTTCTGCCTCCATACAGAAACAACCACTTTATACTCCGGTGAAAACCACCACACTACCATATATAGCAGGCATTACTAAAAAGATTTCCAAAATTCTAAACACAAGATCCAGGTCCGGTTAAATACATTACACAATTCGTGATCTGATCCCATCCATGAAGGATGTCATTCCTGACTTACAGTACCCCACGGTTTACAAATTGAGTTGTACCTGTGGTGATTGCTATATCGGGGAGACAAAGCGACATGTCTCCAACTGAATTCGCGAGCACAAACCAGATTTGAAACACGGCAGAACGAATTCTTCTGCCATAGCTGATCACTGTTACAATGCTGTGGGTGATCACGATATAATTTTCTCCGATACCAAGGTTCTTTGCAAACCCACGGGTTTTTATCAGATTTGTTCACGAGGCAATTCAGATCTACAAACAGACACAATTTCAACCGAGAAGATGGTTTCAAATTAAGCAACCATTGGAAAGATGTTCTAAATCGAACCAAACATTAAACTAATTTTCAATGGTACAGTATATTTTTCAAGCAGTGGTACCCCAAACATTCGCAGCTCTTAAAAATTCCCTTTTCACACCATCAATAGGTAAACTCCCCCTCCCCCCCCCCCCGCGCCAACCGGCATGATCACACGCATGTACACCACCTCTACACCGTTCATCATGCTAAGTCGGCCAATAAAATACTAATTTTTATGCCAATTCCTTCGTCAAGGCACCTTGTTTCCTCGCACACAGCTGAAAGGTCGCGGTCTGAGCGTGGCTGTTCCACTCCAGCGCTGTCCTCGAGACAGCCTGGTCCCTTCACCTGGTGAAGGCCGCTTGTGTTGTGGCCAAAACGTCGTGATTTTTGTTTTATTTTTTACCTACGTGATTTTACCGAATAGAACCAAAGAGTATGGATCCTTGCAGTCACGAAAGCTTTAAATCTAGAAGCAATTATGTACACATTTTTGAAAAACGTAAGAAGCGGCACCACATTCGTTGGCGAACCTGGTGACTAGGAGTTTGTGACGGCTAACATCGGTGACGAGCAATTATCTCCTGGGGTGCCGGGCAACAAAACCACCATCACCAATAACTGACGAGCAGAATAGTCAAACATCACCTGCTCCCCCCCCCACCCCATGACAACATTATGGGTAAAACTATAAAAATGCTAATAACAGTACAACTAAATTAATATTCTCTTCACAAAACGACAGGCAAGACAAGCCAAAAATAATGACAAATGATATTTCAAAGAAAATTCGCATCCAGGTATTCAAAATCAAAGGGAGCAAAATCTTTACATACGACCATCCAGGAGTTTACGGCCTTGGCCAATAAACGTAGTGTCTACCCTCGCAAAACTCGTATGTTTGCACCTGCACAGCCAAGCATTGAAATGAGAGACTCGGAGCAGCCGATCGGTTAAGCCAAAAAAATATGAAAAAACGAGGTTTTACCCCAAGCCAAAAAAGGCTTCCCCAGTGGCAGAGCATGGGTTGGCATGGATCCTAGTGCAAGAATTGGAGAAAGAAAAAATTGCACTACCCATTTAATTCCCCACCCCTTTATTAGCACAACATACAAGACCCTCCAGCTTGGTGTTCTTCATTGCAAGGCCAGAAGGCCACTGGCAGCCTCCGAGTGGCCTTGAGTGCAGACCCTCGACAAGACAAAAAATTTGAAAACATCCTTTTTGTAGGCGGTGTGGCGACTCACACTGGGATGTCTTATCGGGGAAAGTGAAAGTTAGTGGAGAACATCGCTCCAGCTTGTGGGGGACACTGGTTTCAAGTTACACTGTCTGCACATTCGACAGCCACGTGCTGCAGGGAGGGGGGGGGGTCCGATCCCTTTGCGCACGAGCGACAAAACGCAAGAATAGGAGGGAAGGATGTAGTTACCGGGGAACAGGCTCCCAAGTGCCCTCCATGGAGAGCGCGAGGAGGGTCGGCAACTTTTCCACGCGACGCTCCGGTCCGTGCACCACCGCCTTGGGCTCCACACGGTCACCTACGCCGCGGTAGCGGCACAGCATCCTGCGGGCGAAGCAGCGCAGCAGCCAGCGCTGGACGGGCCAGGGCCTGGCGTCCGCGCGCGTCGCTGAGGTGGCGGCGGCGCTTCCCCCTTGGCCGGTGGCGCTTGTCGGGCCGGTGGGCTCAGGGGCGGCAGCGGCGCGATCCACGCGATCGTGCTCTGACTCGGAGTAGCCCGATGCTGCGCGCATGCCGTGCGCCCGTGCTTACTGCCGCCCGCACCCCACACAGAGGGGCATCACCACTTTCTGGAGGAGCACACAACCGAGGGACTTTTTTTTTTCCTCTTTTTCTCTCCCCCCCCCCCCCCAATCTACGGATGGCCCCTGCAGGTGATTTTTTTTTGGTTGACTGACCTTTAGGTGTCTGGCATTACCACTACCAGGAAAGAGAAAAAAGTACAACCGATCCCAAGTGGCCTAACATTTGCAAGGTACAATGAAAGCCAGCATGGTACGATACACCTTAACATAATTTCAACATCCGCAGGAGCAGAACACCTTGTTAGTGTACGTTTCCAAAAAAAACATTTCTAAATCGTAAGCAATCTTTTAGGAATGGTATTTGGCTGAACGGTTTTCGTTTTACTTCAATAATTACAAATTTTGCTCCAAATTCAGTCCACAAACGCAAATGTATTTTCATGCAACGCAAAGCTCAAGACTATAAAAATAATGGTACATAACAAAAAAGCAACTTGCATAAATGTTTTAGCAGCCAGTGCCATGCGAGCACAAATGCAGACCGAATGCTTTAAGAATATTTTATAGTATAGGGCGACCTAAATTTAGGCAGAAGGTAGTAAAGATTACCTCAACCTAATCTCCCTGGATATTCCTGAACCGCAAATGTGGGCCCTGTTGATGGTCGTCACTCCTTGCGGTTTGATCCTCCGACCTCCTTCATCCTCCTAAGAATTCCCCCCCCTACCACCCAGTCAGCGACTCCACTCACCCGCACGATCCCCAATCTGCCACTCGTCTGCCAACTCCTCACCAATATCAGCCCCAACGCCGTCCCTCACACACGGCAGCGCAGAGTATCGATTTTCCTCACAACAGCGTCAATAAGGCCGCTTTCCTACACGAGCAGTCAATTGTGCCGCATGACTCTCACAACAAAAACAGAGTGGTGGCCTCATGAATCAAACACGGTCTGCCAGACACGGATGAATCTCGGCTTTGAATTTCGGAAAGTGCAGAAAAGTGGATTTTGATTCGTCGTGTAAATTCAGGAGAACACAATTTGCGCCGAACGTCCATTGCACGGGCAGGGCACTTCAACACAAGGGATGATAGCAGTGAGTCAACAAGACCAAGTGGCAATCCACGGAATGGAACACATCCGAAAAGACGGTGTAACGCAAAATCAGCTCCTCTTGCAGGTGCCAGTTGGTTTGTTTCACACAGGACTGAGGAGGTGGCAACGACTTGGGAAGGCCTGCATCCAGCAGTGGATTGACAGATGACACGTCTTATTGTGCCATTTTTCAAATATGAAACCCGTTACTTACAAAGGTGCACGTATAAGGAGGAGTGTTTCAATCTACTTATATAGTACAGTATTTTAGAAAGTATTTACAAAATTTGTCAAATAGTGTTCAGTCGCAAATGCTACGTTTCAAAATTTAATGCCACCAAGAGGCTGTGGCTAAAATATTACTTTGAAAAGCATTCGTAGAATAAGCAACTGTATTCAGTCTGAAGATTAAAATGTTTTTAAATTATAATTGATGTGGAACATCATTTTGCTGTAATTGATAAATGCAATTCTAGTATATACAATGTTGAGTACAGATGGAATAGATTAGTTTTTATTTCCTAAAAAATAAAGTAGCGATGGATGTGCTGTTAATTGTATTTATGGCAGTGTAGTACGTCAGGGCCAAATGATGGGTCGATGCAACAATATTCTCTTTCCTTGCAGTAGCTATCAGACCACAGCATCGACCACATCCCACAGGACGGTATATTACTCTAGACAGGTGGTGTTCCAAAGGGCCCTGGGGTAACTCAATTAACGTGTGCAGCACCTAACATTTTGAACATTCTCCGGGGCAAAAACGTGCTTCAGGAGCAAACTTTAAAAAAACTAACTCTCGTTCCAGTCACATGCAAGGAGACCTTTCAGTGGGGAAACAGTCTTCGTTTAAGTTCACCCACCTGCCTCGACAGAATGGGCAGTGGAAGCACAACATTATCCCATGGACATTAGGCTTCTTCGTGTACAAAAGATGCAGCACTTCAATCGATTGCTCAAGTCACTGCCGACAAGGCCCCCACCCCCCCAACTCAGGAGGGAGCTTGAGGGCACCCCAACTGGATGGTCATTTTGGCCTACAATTCCAAATTTAGTTAATATTCAAGGCTGTAACAGCACGCTTTTTTAGCAACTAGAACCGTAGAGAATTACGTGTTTGGTGGCCGCTAAATTTTATTATACAAAAAAAACACTAATTGCAAGACTTCGAATATGCTGCAGCTTAAAGGGCTTGAAAATTTTAGATTTTATGAAGTGTTTTATCATTATAGTCTCTCAACTCCTTTGTTTGCTTTTTATGCTTAATGATAGAAGTCGGTTAATTGTTCATTTTAGTGTTGTATGCGAGGCTTGTAACAATTCACCTCCGTCGTGATGCCACAGGAGACGAATGGTATTTATGTTTGTATAATGCTGTATGTCACCCCTTGTGGCTGCAGAGGTCATGCGAGCAAATTAACTAAATTCAGTTATCACTACCAACTGCACAGTTAGAGAATTACCATTCAGTCTAATACTAATCTACCCAAGCAGACTTGCACTGCAGGGATTTTTTGTTTATTAAAAAAAAGATTTACGTGTGTAATATAAATCAGTTTCTCAAATGACTGTCGTTTTTACCCTAGTTTAGATCGCTTCATTGCTGTACTTCATTTAATTTGCTCAAGTTTGATCATTTTGACAAGCCAGGTCACCCATGAAAATTAAGACTCCTGGGTCATTAGAGTTCTCACCTGAATAAAAACAACCAAATTGACGTAATGCATTATCCCGAGCATCAGTCAGTCATTGTTACACCCTTCCTGGGTAGGCAAACACATCCACGGTGGCAGCTTTGACTACAGATATACAAAAAAATATTCAAGGTACAGTAAAGTCCCTGGGTTGCACGTTTGCTTTTTTTGCTTGTTGCGGTTGCACCCGATTCAAGAGCCGAATGGCTTACAGGGCTATACCAAATAAATGAAAGTATGAAACTTTAGGAATCGTGTAAAACAAATTGAATAAGCGGACATTTTTGCGTTAGTTACACAAGCGCAAATAGTCCAGCGCAGCGAGGTTGCAGACGAATATTGGAACAAGGCGTAAGCCGCCGCACCTTACTAGAATTAAGAAAAATGACTGTTACGTAGAGTTATGCGATTCTTTTAATTACGTAGCATTACATAATGGTTTTCTACGCTTATAACTATTTTCCCCATGTTTATAATGCTAATTCTCCTCTTTAAAGTTATTTCGAGTTATCTACCGTCTGTACTTAACAATTACACTTCCATTGTTTATGAGCTCAGTCGACAACAATCTTAAGTCTAGGCCTGGCCTAATGTACGGTAAAAGACCATTCAGAAGGGACTGCTTTCTGTTAACGATTACTAGTCAAATGTTGTGGTATTCATAAATAATTGGATACAGTATAGGTTTAATTATGGGTAGTTTTAAAGTAGATATTCGATTAAATGAAAGAATCATTGGAAGTGCAGAGTGTATGTACAGCGATACGATCCAGTACTGAAGAGAAAACTAGTAAAATTGGGGAGGAGGCACACCTATTTCCAACTAATGGGACTTTATCCTGATTGAGGGGGGGGGGGTTTTAGTTTCAAGAATCGGAAAATTCTGGGTACGGACCGTTCTCGGGAACCTAACCCCCTTTGTGTAAACTGTGGACTGCCTGTAAGTAGATTGTACCTGGGAAAAGAGATGAGGAATATACAATTTAGAGCTGGGATACCCGACCGTTTAAGAAAGTGATTACGCCATTTTTTTCATTCAATGTGACAAAAGAAAAAGGTGAGCTTGCAAGCCAATTTTACACTAAAGTGGTTTAGTGTTCGTTGAAAATGCTTGGTGTTAATTTGTAAATGTCACATAAAAGTTAAAAAGTTAATTAGGAGTGCAATAATTAGCAAAGCTTGCTCATCTTTAACTTATTTTTTTCATTAAAACATCACCATTCAATGTTTATAAAGACCTCCCCACCACTTGGTCACCATCCTCAAGGTCCGGTGCAGATACGCTGTCCATAGCACTCCTGCACAGTAACAGATCTCATTTCGTGAGCTCCACGGTGGGCACTCTGGGCAACGTGTTCCTCTTTGGCTGCGACTCGGGTCACAAGTTTTTGCCCATCGTCCCAGGTGAAGTCTTACCCCAAGCCCATATTTACTTTTCCTACTTGGTCAATAGTGAATGTACCGATTGTTTTTCTCCCAGTGCAATTCCAAGCATGCACCTTCCCACATGTTTTTCAGATGTTCCATTACCTTTGCAAAAAAAAATTAAAACGTTATTTGTAATGAATGTGCGCGGTAATGTAATTATCCACCTGTTATTTTTGGTCAGTTATTCACGTTAATGTATGCAGTTTCACACAAAGCAAAATAGGCTTCCAGGTCAGACATCACATCAGGCCGCAATCTGGCAATATCCAAAAATTATATAATACTGTAACATGTTTCCAAAAGCAGAAAAGGGAATTGTTCACCTGGCACACAAATTCACTGGTTTACATTCCACAATGGATGTGTTCGAAATTGCAGCAAAAAGTATCAATGAAAATCCCGCAGTAACATCACGGACATTGATGCCCACCGATTGTTATAAACAAAGGGGTGCCATGCAGGCCTGACGAAGGCAGTGGAAATGGGGGTACAAATGTACCAGGGGACGGTGTTAAAATGAGAGCGAACCAAAATTGTAAAAAGGTGTATTTATTCCCCCACCGAGCCAACATGTAGCTGAGGCCCCCAAAAATGTCTCAAGGGCCAGGATGTACTGTACCACCCACATGCAAATTTTATAAGGGAAGTCACAACACCACAAGACTAGATATTTCATAAAATGCAAAATTTTAAATGGATGTTCTGTAGATAGCTTACAAAGCACTCGAGTAGCTGTAGAATTAGTAAGAAAAATTCCACCTCCTTTATATTGGTCACAAGACGATTAAAATATTTGCAGGTCAATGGTTGTTTTAAATTCATTAAATCGGCAAACCTACCTAGAGAGCAGGTTCAATAGCTTTATCCCCCCCCCCCCATACCTGTAGTGTCAAAATCAGTTTCAGTCGGAGCTTAAAAGAATACGCATAAAGAGGTTGGTAAAGTCTGTCAGCAGGAGCAGCACACTAAAAATTGTACACCAAAATGCCACGCGTGTTGGCGCTGGCAATCTTACGTAAGAGCCAATGTAAACACGGTGCACAAAAAACACCCCCAGTAGAAGCAATAAAGTCACAGTATTAGAGTGCTTAATCTAGCAGAGAAAAAAAACAGCAGCTTCCGATATCATGCTTTTAATATACACTTAAACGCAAACAGGAGCGTACAACTCTACCAATAAAAAAAACGCATGAGACAATAACATTTGCCATCTCACCGTCATTACAATTTTCAACAAAAGGGAGCCACCGTCTTACCCACAATGAAAGCACGCTGGCCGAACAAGTGGGGAGTCTTCGTACAAAAAAAAGCACAACGAAAAAACCTGTCGGTCATACAAAAACGAGACTTAGGGGGCAAGCATTAAAAAAAAGATTATTTTTCAGCCGTGCAGCTAAAAATTGGCCAGAAGAAAATGGCTTGTTCGCCCCGTAGCTTTCCACGGCAAACAAAGAACGGGGTTGACGCTAGGAGCCCGTCGTCACAGGACTGAACGAGTTGAGCTGCAGGGGAGGCTGCCCCCTCTTTTAACCCCCCCCCCCCCCGCACTTTTCAGCCAAAAAAATATTCTAGCGCAGCCGGAGCCCACCGAGATGCCCACACGACGCCTGACGGACAGCTACGTGCTCAAGATCTTCCCGTGCGCGCGCACGCACGCACGCACTCTTTACACGTGCGTGCGTAAACCGAACAGCAAGCACTCCACTCGCACGCTGCCGCCGCTGACATGTAATGTTCGTACAGTATTGGGAATGCCTACTGTACCTATGGGTTTAACCCTGTCAGTTGACGCCAGGCTTTGCTGGGGAGGGCAAATGGCAGCAGTCGCTTAGTTGTTATTCATTTGGCTACGCTCTTATTTTTTTCTCATCACCATCAACCCCCCCCCCCCACCGCCAAGGGCTGTCAGCCTGTTTAATAAATAAAAAGACTCCACAGATGGCAGCCAGAATACACAAGGACGATGTGGTTTTTCCTACACCAAAATGCGAGAGAAAACAGGACGTCCGTCTGGCTCAATGGCCTCCGGGTAACATTTGGCAAGTGGCACACCTCGTGGCACACCGCAAGCGGCGTTTTGTGCACAACGCAAGTGCCAATCGTACGTCACGCAGGCAGCGGCACTCCGTGGTAATGTGGCATGGGGTCGGGCAGAAGAATAATAATACTTCAGATTGTCCGTAGGCAAAAACAAGGATGTTGGAGAATGTATATTAAAAAAAAACACGTACACAGTAGTAGGACTCCCAATATTCCATCAAGTCCTGCAATGTGCATAATTTGGGAATCTGCGGGAGCGGAGACCGAAATCCGCAGATTTCTGGAATTCTTCCGGGACCAGCTCAACTTCTCCAATAATCCACACAGCGGATTAACAACTTGTGTGCCACGCCAACCTCATGAGCTGCATATATTTTGTGGATTAAATAGAGTCGCGCGGAATATGGAATCCAAGATATGGTCCCCACCATATCAATCACGGATTATTGGGGTTGGATCTGCTGTACCTTCCAAGTGCAAAAAAGAGACCACAGCAGATAGCATCGCAAATTGAATGTTTGCAATGTAGCTCCTATATTTCACGAATGCAACATTTTGCATCTTGGCTTGATGATCAACATTTACCAGGCGCAACTGTACTGGTCTTCATAAAATAGAATACATTGCTTGAGCAACCAAAATTAAACCTTTACAGGCAGACATGAAAAACCTTTAAAAAAACATCCATGCCAGGCAATGTTTTGTTAACCATTGGTCAATACAAAGAACAAAATAGACGAACAGAAAATAAAAGTCTTAATTTATCATCCGTCTATGCACATAAATTTATGTTTTTTCTTACACAACCAATTGACCACAGCCGTCTGGGAGTACATTATATCAGCAGCATTGAGTCGGTATAAGCAAACTCTGGCCCCCCGTTTTGGCAAAGTGTCTCGTCAGCAGATGCTTGCGTGAAATAATGCTGGTTACCGACCAAATGTTACAACCAAGGATCCTCTCGATAAGGGTTATCCAGTCGACGCTAAATTATACAATACAAAAGCATAAACGGCGTTGTGTAGAATATAAATTATATAAGCAAAACAAGGTTGGCCAAGACACTTTTCACCAGCATCGATTCAAGCAAGCCTGGCTCTGCTGATGAGAACACTGGGGGTTGAACCTGGTCCACAGTTTGCTTGCTGAAATTATGCACTCACAGAAGGTCATGTGGCCAATGAGTGACGTAAGATACTTAATTTTTTTGTGGAGATAAAGTTATGAAGACATTGTATGCTCATATTGTTTGCCCTTTAAAACTAATAATTATTTGGCGTTCTGAAATTATATACAGTATCTACAGTTACACCATGCATATGCAAAAACAGGCGAGTCGTCATAAAAATGTGGTTTCCTATCAAGAGAAGGGGGCAACCCCCACATGCAGTGTGGAATTAATACCGGTTATAAAACAAACATACGGATCAAACATTAAAAATAATAAGACCATGAAAGCTTAAGTGTGCAAGGAAGCATTTAGACCAAGGGGAGGAGCTTGTGACTTGAAAAAACACACCACGTTGGGTACAATGACTTAAACCAAGTAGGCTTGAGCATGGCACATCACTAGAATGGATGGCCAGTGGTGGAGGTGAATGATGAAGTGAGAGCCAAGGAGTAAACGCTTCTGATAAGCACGGTTGGCCACGTACGGTGCGAAAGAAGCACAACATGCTTAGATACACGCCTGAGGAGGACGTCCACTGCAAAAGATAGATACATAAGAGTAGCGCCAGTGCAGGATCCAAATCGCAAAATAGCAGAGGGATCGTGGTAATTTGAAGGCCTTCATCCAACAGCGGATTGAGCAGAGTGAATTCGCAATGACCGTCATGTTAGCTGTAGCCTGGAATACCTAAAAAACCCGTAGAGTTCTTATTGCAGTGCTCTTGTACTTGATAAATAAAAAGGTGTTAATTATAGTGTAATTTATAATATGGACACATAGGAGACTATAAAGATGAATGAAATAATAAAGTGGAGTAACGAGTTACATTTAATTGGCGAGGACAAAAAGAAAGGCAATGGAATAATTGCATTTCCACATCACTAATTAGGAGGCTAACGATTCTTACAGCCTCGCTGCAGATGAGCTTGGGGGGGGGAAAGGGGGCCCCATTCGACTAATGGCCAACCCTTGTCACTCAGAACGCTACAAGAGGACAGCAGCTGTAGTTATCAGTCTGAAATATTAATGTCCGAGCAGCACTGCTGTTCATCATCCTATTAATTAAGCACCTAGGGTGGCAGTACCCAAGGTATAAAAAGAGATCGCAACAAGCAGCCGATGATTGACTATACTGAGTATACAAACTGGTATACGTTGGAAAAAGACTAAGAGACACCATCTACAATTATAAAATAGGCACGTGACAACCTCCTTGCGTCGAATTCTACGTAACCAAAAGGAAATGCGTCAACATTACTAACAGATGTTATTATGGATAGAATGTACTAAGTATAGCAATAAAGTAAAGTTTAATGTGCATTTTTACTATCCCATCCCCATAACCTCTGCATGGGAACACACAAAAATAATGCTTATTTATCGGTAGGTAATAAAAAAACACCGAATGCCATCGCTGGCTCCGTTCAAATGCAAAAACAGCTATTTGTGTCAATCGGTCCTGGAGGAAATCCATAAAAGTTCCGCTCAAGAGGACAAACCCAAAAACAAACACTGCAGGAACAAAATATACCTCTACCATCTCCTCCTTGAAAAGAAAGTTAATTACAGGAAGTTAACCAATAACACCGAATTAAAAGACAATTGTTTTCTATTTGTTGTACCATACATCAATGTTCACCTACAACCGGTATGGTCAAATGTTAGTTAGGTGAAGGCTGGCGAGGCGACGTAACGAGAAATTGCTGACAGCATCGTCCGTCCTCCGAGTGTAGGGGTTAAGGCGACACCAATCAGGTAACGGTGTTAATAATAATAATGATGAATGTAAAATTACGTAAAAAGGGGCAGGGGGAAGGAGGAGACATAAATTGGGGACTTATTGTAATTAAACGAAAAAAAAAACTAGGACCCTGAATTTGGATAATACAAATAAGCAGGGGTGGGAGGGGGGAAATGGGTCAATCATGACCTCTCAAAAAGGAACATATGGTCAAGCCAAATGTATGGTTTAGTTTAAAACTTAAAGCAAATTAAGCAAAATATGCACACTTAAAAAGGTTGAAACAATTACTTTAAGATCAAGTGAAAAAAAACTATTCTTTATTGTACTGAAATGCATTGGTTCATACAATTACACAAAATGTAGACAAATGGTGAAGCGTGACAAACAGAATGACGTGAAAACAAACTTAGTAACAATGAATCAAAACGACACATTAAATTACACTGGCCTTAAAAAGGAATGGAAAATAGGTGACATTTTGGGCAATGGTCTTTCATGGCAGATAACAAATAACTTTATTTTAAAGCAATAATTTGTGCCATATTCAAAGGCTATTGGTTACTTCAGGATAATAAATTATTACACATCCTTTCAGCTGTACAATGGCAATCGCCTTTATATCAGTGCAAAAGCCCAGCAGCATATACAAAAAATCTTAAGTAAACAAAAACATGACCACGTGGTCGAACACAATTGTGGTCGCATAAAACGGGTACCTGTTTAAGCAGACATACCTATGCATAATTACGCATTTCCAAGCACCCAATCTCATCTCTGGCATGTCAGCTTGTTGATGTTTGGTTTCTTCCGAGGGGTGAGAGAAATTTAGATTGCTAAAAAAGGCAGCTAGTGGAACATCCATCAGCAATTCTCACCATGCGGTGCTCAGACCGACATCCAGCATTGACGTCACTGACCATGGGATAAGGCTGAAGTCTAGCCCGATCAAGAAACATTTAAAAGGCAATGCAATTGAGATCAATGCTTTAACAGCCATGCAGAACACGGCTAATAAAACAGGAAAATAAAAATCGGAGATGATTTCACATCGCGCGGCAGTTTGAGGTGCTGTATTTCAAAAGACTTTTCATTTCCATTCAACATTAATTTACAAGTTAGCAAGAAAACCTCAGGAGATAAACACCTGGATGCTCGTGAGGCGAACAAAAGTCGTGCATTATTCTAATCTTTCCAAGAACCATTGCAAAAAAAAATATCACCAAGGGCAGATTTCTATCCAGAAGATGCAACACGAGTGCGCACATTATGATCAGTAATTAAAAAACCGCAAATCTGCAAATACTGCACCTAGGACAATGCTTTTAGTTGCGATGTCACAACGATAAATAGGACAGCTATTGCCATAGTTAATGTATTGCACCTCGGCAGTTGAAACATTGGGCGGGTATATGTTTTTTTTTAAATGGAATGTCACACGGGGTGGGATGAAGTGTGGCCTCTTTCAAAAGGCGTCTGGCCAGTGTGGATGAACAGGCTAAAAAAAACACCCAGGAGGGGTTCCAAAGAGCTCCCTCCAGTGGAGGTCCTTCTGCCAAGTGGCTACAGCAACCAGTTGCAGGGCTGCACCTTACCATTTTACTGCCTGGTAAATGGTATTGCGCTTGGCTTGGTGCAGTGTATCCCCCTCCCATTTGCGAATTCAACCTCTGCCCCTTGATAATGAACAATGGATATTATCAAATAATTCATAGACAAACAAATACCACGATGCGCGTCATATTCATAGACCTCTGTCGTGGTGTCATGATTCCAGGTGGAGACTTAATTGCAATGACAGTAAATAATTTTAAATTCCAGCACAACTATTAGGTGGAAACCTTCCCCTTGCCAAGCTAGAAGTGATGCCGTTTTGGATCAAAAACAGACGCAAGGCAATATTGAACACGGTGTATAATACAAATGTCATGAATAATTAGGATACATTATATGTACATTCCCCCCCCTCCCCAACTGTACACCGAGTGCCGTCTTGGTCAGTGCCAGATATGTAAAACGCCCAAAAAACAATGTACATATTGTATAAATATGCAATATTGTATGCTCCGAAAAAACAGCAAACGTACATTTATACGCAGGGTGCATAAAAGCTGTAAACATTTCGTGCTTGCCTTTAGTCTACAAATAAAAATGCTGTAAATTTGTATCCTTTTTAAATTCATCAACACCTACAACACAAACCCTGATCACACCATGCATGGCTGTCCAGTCTAATTTGACACCTTTGTCAATGCAGATGTTAAAGAAACAAATGCAATGAGAGAATTATGCAGCAGTAATGAAACAAAATAATCGGCGTATCCTCCTGGTAACGGTTTCTTGCAAATAATTACATTTCACGCTGCAGTTGTGTACATCTGTTGTAATGTGCAAAGGTCAACCTTTGAAATGCACTGCTAGTCAAACACATAAGTTTTAATCAAATGTTCACTGGAAATATTTAACAAAAAGAAAAAAAAAATCTGAAAATCTTTGTCCATGACCAAACCACAAAAATCACGTTCACGGGTGCCAAACCTTTTACAACATGCGCCAGCCGACAAACGAATGTTATCGCCACCCAGTACTGGGCTGTAGATTGTGTGGGACCCTGTAAACAGGAGCCATACGGTCGACTCGGCATCCACCGTTGCCAGTAAATTGGCTCCCCTGGAGGGACGGAACTTGGACAGCAGCAAAAAAACCGGAAAGCATCATCATCACGCTCGCGAACAGCCGGGTCCGCGTGACAGGAAGCCTTTGGGCAGAGTGCATTCGCGAATAATAACGGCACACGAGCCCGAGAGCCATCACCCGTTGTTATATATCTAGACCTTTTTCCAAAATTGATATTAATAATGATTTTGCCGACTTTTTATATATAATCACTCACGTGGTCGCTGGGAGCACAACGGAACCCCCCCCCCCCCACACACTTTTAGAGCAGCCGTCTCGTCACTCTCGCAAAGATAATGACACCCTCCCACCAACAGAAAGGGTCAGTCATAGTCAAATAAAAAACACACCACCCCCCCCCCCCCCCGGACGAAGGATAACAAACAAGCGTTTCGTTCTGTTCAACTTTTTCATGCTTCTTCTAACAGATGGTAAAAATTCCAGAACTTGGCGACCAAAAGATGAAGCTAACATTATTGATCCTCACTCACTCCAATTAAAAACCAGGCTACAATCTACATCAGTGGATCATTACTCCTTATTCATTAATTCAATACCAATGTTATTTTCACCTCTAATAATTTTCTACATGACCTGACCGAAGCATTAAGAATAATTCTGGCAGTCAGGGTTATTCCTAAGCCAAAACGAATTCTCTAACCTCAGGATATTAGATAACAACAACTCGAGAACAAACAGCACAAACCCAGAATACAGACGAGGGGGGGGGGGGGACGAAATTAATAAACCCTAAAGAAACGTGATGATTATTATAAATGTTAAATCACAAATCTTGGGAAACAAACCAAATAATAATTATGCAGTATTAAACCGAGGGTTATCCAGAAAAGATGAGGCGAAATAGGTCAAATTTACACAATCAAGATAAACTGTCCCATAGGAAAGAGCCTCCGTCTTTGTCTTCCCACAGCACAGCAAAAAATTAACGCCTAGAGTGAGGGAAATTACTTATTGCAGGGGGGGCATCTGTGTTCCACGGATGAAAAGATGGCTTGGGGAGAGACAGATGGCTTAATAAATGACACACGTACAACCTCTCCCCACAACAGAGCGAGATCAAAGGAAGTTCCAGTCCTTTGTGAGAAGGCAAGCAGAGAAATAAACAGAGACACAAGCCAACATTGCACCGCAGCTACCAGCGGCAGAAGACGGCGACCATCAGTTCGGCAAGGGACAGCTTGGAAGAGGACAGCAAGCCAGCTCCGGAGCATGGCCTCGAGATCAACAACGCGTGTGGTGCATCGCAGAGAAGAGGGGCGAGCCGATGCTCTGTGCCGAGTTCCGCATGGGCCGACAGAGTATCGCTGAAAGTTATTCTTAGCGTCAAGCAATCAACCTCGAGAAAGGGCGGAGAGGGCCAAGCATTGACCAAGCCAGCATTGCAGAAACCAGCTGCACGCGCAATCGGTACCGCCATAGAGAGACGGAGCAAGAGAGAGCGTGCAGCAGCGCCACCAAACAAGGGTGCCAGCTGCCAGCGGACAAGCGTTGTGCCAACTCGGCTCATCCAACAGGGGAAAGAGCCTGACCAGCTGCCCGTGAGCAAGAGTGTCAGCGCCAGCGAGCGTGCCGTGGGTTTGACCCACACCGACCAGCACCAGCTGGGAACCAAGTCGAGTGAGGAACTGCAGCCAGCGGACGAGCTGCGGGCGCTATCCGACGACGGATCATCGCGCACAGACGGCGAGCGTCGTGCCGACTCTTCCACCCAGCTGTGGACCGAAACTGTGACCGCCCCCAAGCGAGAGAGAGAACAAAGCTGTTTGTATGATCCTCCCCCACACTCACGACGTATCGCCCAGTCTGCTTTACGCAAAGAATTGAACAAGTGGCAAAGACACACAACACGCATATCAGGACAAATAAGATTGTTCCAAAAAGTTGTGTGTTTCAAGAAGGGTTGCCATTCCAAGGTGGTGCGTTAAATAAACTGATCATGAAGAACATTGCTGCCCATCGAGTTACATGGATACGGTCATTTAGAAGTATTTTGGTCGTTCGTTTTCTTTTTAATTGCATAATCTTACCAATGAATTAATTGATAACTACTCCTGCCTTCAGGACATGTTTCTTTATTGCCTTCGTATGAATATCGTTGCATGAATAAGGACTTTTCCTCTCGCCGTGTATGCTCGCGTACTCGAGGAATAATCGATTGTACTGTTACCCAGTTAACAAACGTGACCATTGAGGGTTAAATGTATAGATCGATGAGGGGAACATCTCCAGGAGTACTTTGACAATTCCAAGCATGAGAGTTCGCATATTAGAGTGTTAAGGTTTGTTTAGAAATTAAAATTGCTTAACACAGAAGTGTTTGAGTGGTGCCTTCCTAAGTTCATCCATAATAATCCTAATTTTAAGAACTGTATCCTGCGGTGAGATTTGAATTGGAGAACTGACACACACAGTAATACATAAATCTGTAAATGTTAAAGCAAGAATAATTGTATTATACCGATTGATAATACAACCCTAGACAACGAAGCCGAGCTTAATCTAGCATACTTACATCACACCTGCATAACTTCATACGATTAATTGTATGATCCCAATT